AATTTCGGGGAAAGCATTTGCATAATAGTTTAACACAGTTCACTAAGATTGGTAAATTTTTTGAAGTTACAACTGTAAATTGACTAGAATATATACAAAACCCTACAAAGTCTTTAACTTAAGAAGGGCTTCACATGTCACAGTCACATAATCTAGAACAATGCAACTCAAGGAGTTGGTAGGTGGAGATCAAGAAAAGGGGACCAACGAGGGTCCTGGCCGAGGCATTGCCAGCGGACTGACTGCTTCAGTTCAGCCACATTTTTGCACATTTGTCTCGAACGGGCAGAGAGAACGGGGTCTTTTAACACTAAAGAAAATGAGGAACACAGGGTAGTATACATGTTTATACACAAAATTCTGCCGTTTTTGATGTTTTGTAAACAAATAATGACAAAAATCATCTTTATAAAGATATGCTACCGATCCAAGCAATTTACCCTCAGAGAGCAAAAAGAAAAGAATTTACAGCACAAAACTTCCAACAAAAGGGACGAAACACGTTTATAATTTGTTAAAGCACAACAGAGAATAATAACAACAAGGCGACAAGAGCTTTACGGGCCCAAACACAAATGAACTTTAAAAGTTAAAAAATCACAATGACGAAAGAAATGAGAAGACGTCGAGCCTTAAAACAAAAAGCTACTATCGTGCACGGCAAAACGCCCAGCAATAAGACAAAAAGACACACACACGGCAGGCCGTTCACACAACATCCCAGAACAAAACCGATGGATGTTGATCTGCCGGTCCAGTCCTCTCTATTGTGAGAGTGCCGCGCTCCCCGGCGCAGCCCGGCGCTGCATCAGTCATCATCACTCAGAGCCGTCAGGGACTTCAACGGCAGACCGTCTGGGACTGATCCATCACGTGGCGCGCGCAGAGCGCACCGCCTTGGAGAAATCAACTTTACAACCGGCGGTGTCCGAGAGGGCGGTGAGATGACATCTTCTTGTCCCGATGATCCACTCACTTCGTATAACGTTCGCACAGCCTGAGAAGTCAAGGGGTTTCCTTTGACCAGGGGGGGAAGGGGGGGCAAAGGGGAAATTAACGTCTCTACTAAACGCCTACACTTTTTTCACAATCTGCCGCCAGGCAGCCACTGTGGCAGAGTCAGACTCCGCACGAGAGCGTCCACACCTAGCAACACGCGATTCAGACACCTTGCGGAGTAATCAAGTTTGAATCGCTCCTAACGAATTACACTATGTTGAATGCAACGGGGAGAGATCGGTTCGGAGACGGCGCTCTGGGCGCCTCCTCAACTGATGATGGCGGCTCGGTGTTCCGTGGGCCACCTCAGGTCTGCAACAACAAGAGCAAGAAGGAGGTGAGCAACGCTGGTCAGGCGAGCGGGAGGGGGAGGCATACGCTTCGCGCAGCTCAGCCAGAAAACGTAACTCACCTTGGACGAGGGGTTTGCTGTCGAGGTCCATTGCGATGGGCTCGCTGTCGTGCTGCATGAGCTGCTGCCGGTGCTGCTCCTGGGGCTGGTTCTGCTGTAGCTCCTTCTTCTGCTTAGCCTTCCGCTCGTTCTCTAGCTCCTGCGCGAGGTTTTCTGCAACACGATAAACAAACCACTTTGATTGCAGAGCGACCATCACATCAAGCGGAGCACATTATCATCTCCCTGTCCCTCTCTGACCCCCGCCGCCGCCCTGCCCCCAGGATCCATGCTGAGTCACACTTTAAGAACTTCCCCGCACGCCCGAGGGGGGCCGCGGTAGGGACCCCGAGGGGGGCCCCGGGGCCGGCGCATTGTCTACTGAGGAGGACGCCGCCTCGGCGCCTCGGCGCGCCCCCACCTCGGGCCGGCCGCCCGGCGGGGGGGCGCCCGCAGGCCCCGCAGGCCCCGCAGGCCCCGCAGCAGGGCCCACAGGGGCGCCTAGGCCCGGGGGCGCCGGGGCGCCGCCAAGGGGCGGTGGGGGGAGGGGGCGGCCGGGCCCGGCCAGCGCCGGCCAGCCCTAACCCAGAGAAACCTCAGTGTGGAGCACACGGAAGGCCCGCCCGGCCCCGCTGCTTCGATCCGTGCCAGGCGCCCGGCGCATCGCATCAATCCCCATAACATTTGGGCGGCCCGGCCGCCGGGGCGAGGGAGGAGGTTCTTGCGGCGGGTCAGGTATGAGGAGTGCCCACGGTGGGAGTGCCGCGGCCCTGCCCGAGAGTTTCGCTTCGCCACATTACACTAGATTCCCGCAGAGACAGCCCTGCCGCCCGGCCGTGCGGGCGCGGCCCGGGCGGGGGCGGGGGCCGGCCGGCCGGCGTGGAGCCCGCGCGGGAGGTTCGGCAGCCAAGGAGCTCTCGTGACCGCGCGCCCCGCGGCCCCGCGGCCTCGCGGCCCTCGCGGCCAGCCCCGCCGGCCGCAGCAGGATTGATCGGCAATACAGTCAGTGATGGGATCTCGTTTGCCCGCCTGATAGGTTACTCAGGGAAGGTAATGACTGTTGAAATATTACCCTTGTTCAGTTGTAACTCTATTCCCATCGCGCCACATTAATTACTCCGCGAAGAGAAAGAGAGAGGGACAATGGGCACAAAACAGCTGACACGACATCAGATCAATAAGCGGCCAGCGAGCAGCCAGCCTCCGGGGCTGTGTATAGAGTTTCTGTTCAAAGTGAAACGGAACCATGGCTGATTGCCCTTTAGAATTGAAACTGTCAAGCAGACGTCACGGGGCCGGGCATGCATCGGCCTCCCCGTCTAGAGGGCGGCGACCGGTAGGTGACTCGAGAGAGAAGAAGATGGACACAAGATGCCGTACCTGAGTAGTTTTGCCAGAAGGAGCGGTTGGGCGGGGGCTGTGACTGGGGCCGCGGCACGGCGGCCGCGCTGGGCGAGACGGAGCGCCTCTCGGCGGGCGACGACCGCGGCGACGTCATCTCCGAGTTGGAGGAGCCGGTGGAGGTGGCCTTCATCTCTGTCGACAAGACGGTGGTGGTTGGCTGATGAGTATGAGTGATCAAGGCGTACCGGGAGGGCACAAGTCTAACTCGCGCGCGTCATTTGAATCCCAAACGAAGACGCGACGACCACTATCGACGCGCGTGTCGCGCGTTGCCGACTCGTAATTATTCGCATCGGAAGCGGAATGGTGTCGGGATAAAATTAGCGACGCGGCGCGCAAATACCCTTCCCCCCAAAAAATGTAAAAAAGAAAAAAAAAGTAAAACACATTGAAACACATTGAAAGAGAAGAAACTCACCGGTGAGGATGCGTAGCGCCTCGCTGGAGGCCCCCGTCGTCCGGAGCACCTCCTCGAGCTGCGACCGCCTCTTCATCTCCAGCTCCAGCTGCTCCTGGAGCCGCCGGGACGCCCGTCGGACCTTCTTGAGGCGCTTCTGGCAGAGCACTGCAACAACGAGAGAGGGCGCGGGGCGTCGTAAGTGTCGGGTGATGGACATGCCGAGCGGGAAATAAGCCGTGAAAACGGCGCAGGGAAGGGGGAAATGGATGAGGGGGGGGGGGGAACGAAGACACGACCCGGGGAATTCCACACACTCCCCTCTCCCCCTCCCGCTCCCCACCCCTGGCACACACGGCCCCGAGCAGCGACACGAAGTGGCGACAATTACCGCCGAGTTGATGAGGGAACTCAATTTCCCAGGGGCGGGTCGAGCGGGAGTCTAAGATGGCAACGGGAGGGTGGAGGGGGGGAATATGGCGTCGGCTGGCGATGACATACTCATGAGTATCCGCGAGGAGCCTCCCCCCTAATTACAAGCGTCTCATGCAGTCATTCACGAGCAGTGACGTAGACGGTCCGATGCGTAAGTGAGCGGCGGGGGTGTCTGTTTCCGCGGCTCGGGCAACTATAGGCAAACGGCAAACCATCGCGCAAAAACATTCCCCCCGATACAAACGCAGGTACGTACGAGCAGCAGGAGGAATACCGGCGCGACAAGGAAGTTTGGCGCAGCACAGGCTTATCAATAACGACATCGATATGTCGCTGGAGAGGGCGCAGCAGTGTAGACTGTCACCGCGCGTAATCGTCTCTCTGCGCGCCAGTAATATATCACTGTGATGAACTAACCGGGCCGGCCGGGCCCGGGCCGGGGGAGGCAGGGCGGGAGCGAGCAGGCGACGCAGCGGGTCGCGTTGCACGACAATTTGCACCTGTAATGGTGTTAACGAGCACCCCCCCAACCCCCAGCGCAGCGCCCCCGCGAGTACGGGGTGCTGCCTGAACACACACACACGGTCGTGGAAAATAAACCACTCGACTCACCTCGGGTTCTCGTCTCGTCCAGCAGCTGGCGCTCCAGGCTCTCTTTGACCTCGCGCTCCCGCATCACGTCCATCTTGAGCTCGGCTGCAACAGCCAAAACAAACCCGTGTGTGAGAGCGTTTGTTTGTTGACTCACATCACAACAACACAGCACACGGTGGTGCGCCAGAGGGCACGCGCGCGGACACAACAACGACACGAGGAGGGCGACAATGGGTCGGGGGGACCTGCTCCCGTGTGCGGGGGCCCAGATAAGGTAACCCCGCCCCGCCCCGGCCAGGCCCCGCGGGGCCCCGGAGGGGGAATCACAATTTGACTCTCTCGCTCTCTCTCCGCATGCACTGCACCACCAGAGAGTGCGGCGCGCACTCACACACACACGGGAGTGTGGCGTGGCGATGCGGAGCTTGGACTCGATTGTTACGCATGAGTAGAGAGCGGGGGAGAAGGGGAGAGAGGGGCGCAAGGGCGCTCCCTGCATGGCTGGCCATCGCTTTAGGGTAATAGAGTGAGCCATCCACCCCAATCCTGACGACCCCCCCCCCCCCTCCTCTCTCTCTCTCGCGCACCGCTGCGCCCTTCTAGCCTTCTGATGAATCGGTGTGCCTGTGGTGTGACACGTTGTTGTTGTTGTTCCGGGGTGCGATTGCCAGCAGCGCGGTGCCACTCCCATATTCACGCTACTCAAATAGCGTCCGTTTCATGTCAATATAATCACCACACAGGGGGGGCAGCAGCTGTACGGGGCCGGTCACTCACCTTTCTCCATGTTGATCTGGCGCTCCTGCTGCCGCGCGTTGTCGGCGGCCACCTGCAGCAGGCCCTCGATGTTGCGGAGGATGGTCTCGGTGGAGGTGAGTCGGGGGTCGCCGCCGACGGAGGCCTTGGCGGCGAGGCCCGCGCTCAGGCTGGCGCCCAGGCCGGCGCCCAGGCCCGCGAGCGGCGCCACGCCCACGCCCACCGTGAGGTGGGCCAGGTTGGTGGGCAGCGGCGGCGGCGACGAGCCCGGCGAACTCCGGGGCGGCTTCGTGTCCTGGTGGGCGCTGCCACGCTCGTCCTCGTCGTCCTCGGCGTTCGAGTTGAGGTCGTCGTCGTCGTCCTTGTCCGACGCGCCGGCCTCGCTGTCCGAGTGGTCGGCGCCCGGCGAGCCGGCCGACGCCCGCGACCCGGCCGACGCGGCCGACGCTGCCGAGCCGGCCGTGCCCTTGGACAGGTTGAGCACGGGGCTGTGGCCGTTGGCGAAGTCCTCGCCCTGCGCGCCGAGCGGGCCCATGGCGCCCATGGCGCTCTGCCGCGCGTCCGCGTCGCCCCTGTTCTCCCGCAACCTGCAAACACACGACGCACACACACGCTTATGGTCGGATCGATGCTTCGCCTAAGGACTAAACGCTGAGTGCGTTCGGACATCGTTTGCATTCAAGAGATTTGCATTATTACAGGACGCGGCCCCA